TAGATGGACGTGTTAGCATGAGCAGCTGTATGTTTTGAAGCAGTCTGGTACTGTGTCATGGTTTCTACATCTTATGGGAAGTCAGCACCTCTCACACAACTTTGGGATGTCTGATTTCTGCAGCTGTATGTTTAATTGCCTTTCCACTTTACTACTTCTGTACCTTAGTGCCAAGATTTAACTGCTTAAAATTCATGTGCCTTGGTTACTACGCCTTGTATGTTATGCTGGTGCTTCAGTCTTGAAGCAGGTGGGCAAACAGCCCAGTAGGAGGGACAACCTGATGGTGCATGCCTGTGAAAGTGGTACTACTCCTCCAGTCAAACGTGCCTGTGTGATTGCTTGCAAATGTAACTTGCATGTTTCTTCTGCTTAACATAGTAAGTGTCTCATGTTGGTTTTGATTTTTAAAATGGCTTTGAGTAAAGCCTACAGATGTTGCGAAGCTACTCTGTGGGTTTGGTTTTTCTCGTTATAAACACAGCACCTTCACAGCGCCAGCATGGATGATGCTGTGTGTTCTTAAGCAGGCAATGCTGTTAGTGTATTAGCACTTCATGTAATTTACTTCTGGGATTACGTTGTGCTTGTAATGTTATAAATGTTTGGGTGAAGTTGTTTTAGGACCTTAACTCATGATGTCTTCTAATAGTTTGAACTAGTTTGGCAGCAGGCTAGTTCACGTCAGGATGTGACATTACTGAGGCTGCACAGGGAAGTCTGAAATTGCGATTCTGCACAAATGCAGTGTTACCTGAAACTATGTTTTGCCAGTGCTTTTGATGGAACACATGTGAGCAACACTGGACAGAGCATGTTGGGAGAGATGCCTGGGCCTTGCAAACTGCCTCCTGGATGCTGCCTTCTCTGCCTTTGGGTGGACATGCTGAAAAAAGTCAGACTTGTATGATTGTGTTGTGTTCCAGAATGGGGTCAGGTAAACTGGTTGTAGTGTAATGCATTGACATAAGAAATGCTTTGCATGGTTTCTGACTTGAGTGACTATGGTAATCGTGACAGTGTAATATAGTTTTCTGCTGAAATACAGGTGCTGACGGTGCGTTTTGTCTGGTACCAAAGCATGTTCAGTTGATTAGAGCACTCCTAGACTGCTTTCCTGTGTGTCTGGGCACACCCTCTTGGTTCAGATTTATCCCCCCCAATCCTGCTTCATACAGGCTACGCAAACATAGCTGATGGGGTTGAGTAAACACCATGTGATGGTGTGGGTGAAAGAACCCAGTTCCAGATGGAGTACCAGGAGTGTAAATTATTGTCTGTGTGACACTAACACAAACTGACTTGCATTCTTGTAGTAATTTGTAAGCTTGTAGCTTGAATTCTCTGTCATAATTGATATGGTTTTGATTGCTGTTTACCCCACACTGAATGAGTCGCTGTCCCTCTGCTCTTTTACAGCACACCACTGGACACCCCTTGTAGGTGTAGGTGTCACATAAAAGTGACAAGATCTTGCTCAGAGCCCAGTTCTGCATGTTGTAGTGTATTTCTGTGGCATCTGGGACTGCTGGCAGCTGATCTCTTGTCCTTTCAGGAGAATCTGCTTGCCAAGTTCCTTTCCTTTTTGTTTTTCCCCGAAGTGATGCTTCCCCAACCTGTTATATCTACTGAGGAAGGGGAAAGCTGAGAGCTCTGATAACTAAGACTTCTTTTGCAATGTGTAAGCCCTTGAAATATACAACTGAAATTTGGCAAGTGTAACTTTACTGAAGGCACAAACCAGCCAAACTCTTTTGCACTGCACTTAGTAAGGTGTTGTGGAGACCAGGCATGCATAGTGTTTGTTGATGTAAAACAAACTCAAAGTGAGTTTATTGGTAGTATTTAGTTTAGAGAATTCCCCAAGTCATTAGTTGCCAGGAACAGTATATTCTTGGGAAGGAATGTTCCCAGAAAGGGCAACTGTTGTGTCTGTGCATCTGCTACTCCCACTCCTACGGAGGAGATGCTGGCTGAGGTTAATTTTTCATTGGCCTGCTATGGCAGACCTTAAATCTAAACAATTTCTCATCACTGGGAAGTGTTCTCGTAAGCCCGATGAACATATTAGTACCTGCAGAATTACAGAATGTCAACTGTGAGGGCTAATGTTCATCTAGGTTATAGATTTTTATACACTATAGTTAACCTTTAGGAATACCTCACCTTTTTATGCAGGACACTTTAATGACTCTAAAGGTGTATATGAAGCTGTATTTGAAGCTGAGCTGTTGCTCATTAAAGTATTAATTAATAAAGTGAAAATTTCTTTAAAAATAGTTGAATCAGTGGTTTATTACTCTATATTCTCTGGTTATGTGAAAGTCCAGAAAACTGAGTGAGCAGGCTTCTATACGTACACATTCGTATATGCAACTTTAATGCACTTCCTCATTTCTCTACTCTGCCTCAAAACTACTCTTATTTTTCTTGGAACTTCTTCAGCGTCAATTGGATCAAGGTTTACTTAACTGCCTGTGTTGTTTCAAATTTTGGCATTATTAGCTATGCATACTGTAAGCTAATATGTCACTCTAAATTCTTGAGATCTCAGTCTTGATAAGCTAAGCTAACATATTGGATTTCCCTGTTTTCTGTAGTGAGAAAGCTCTTGAAAGAGGTAAGACTGCTGGTTGGATCTGAGCTAATACTGAATCAATTGAAATGGAATCTTCTTGTTGCATGACTAGGTGAGCAAGCTGTGTTATGGGCTAGTCTCCAGACAAGTAGAAACTAGTTTTAATGTGCCAAAACAACAGCGAAAGCAAAGTTTGCAAATATTTTTCAGCAGTTGATTCTGTGATTGACTTAAATCAATGGAACATTATTCAGGACAGGTTCTTGCCCTGCCTTCAGGGACAGTTTTTTTGGAAGAACTCTTGAATCTGCTTTAGGTTTCCTAATGGATGATGAAAATGAGGGTACTAAAATTGTTCATGCTTTTACAGGGATTGAATAATAGTGGGTAGGCAAAGGACTCTAGACCAGCTTTAAGGAGCCAGGAGACTTTAAGCTAGTCAAGGTATTTCAGCGGGGAGGAAGGGGGAATGGAGGAGGGTACTGTCTGATCTTGGTAGTTTGTTGTTTCCTTGTTCCACGGTCTTTTTACCCTCAGTCTGAGACAGATGCTTACAGTCCCATGTAAAGACAAGGTTGTGGGCCAGAGGCCACTCGTTGGTCCATAGTGAGTGTGCAAATTCCTGCAGTTCTAGAACAGTCTCAGTGCTGCTTTGTACTGAAAACTGTTTACAGGCCTACAGCCTGTCTGGAAAGCCTTATACTTTTCACTGGTATGAAAAATTATTTATTTTGAATATAGCTATTCAAGCTATTTTTCCAGCTGAAGAAAAGGTTTGAGGGGAAAAATATCTGCTTTTTGAATGATGCATTCTTGCTTTTAGTAACTTACTTTTCACTTTATTTTACACTTACCAAAGTATTTGTTGATGAGAGTTGTTTTCTTTCCCCTGCTGTAGTTTCCAAAATGGTTTATGTGATTTGTGTGAGGATTTAAATTTATTTGTTAGAGAACAAATGCAGAGTTCCCTCTTGTGTTGCAGCAAACTTGCTTCCCAAAGCAGTCATCAATTCCTGTACAAAAATATGATGGAATTATTCTTCAATGTGCCTTAGAATTGCTCTCCGGTGACTCTGAAGGGATGCCGTGTGCCTGTTGGCTACCCCAGCAGCACTGGGGTAGTGTATTAGTGTAACCCTAGAACTGACTATGGACCTCCCATCTTTATTTCAGCTCAGATGTCTTAAACAACTCTTGGAAGATCTTGAGCTGTCTCTCAAGGAAGCAATGCACAGCAAAGGCAGGAAAAAGGCCTTCGAAGCAGAGGAAAAACTGCTATCTGGGGTTGTCACTGCTCTTTGCTATATGCATCAAGAGAGCTGTGCATTGCTTCCTTGAAAGGCAGGAAAAAGGCCTTCAAAGCAGAGGAAAAACTGATATCTGGGGTTGTTACTGCTCTTTGCTATATGCATCAAGAGATGAGCACCAAAGTTTTACTTCACTGGGATTTTTAGTGTTGCTCCTATGTTGCTGCTCTGGTGTCTGTTGGAGACCTGAGCTTATACAGTAGCATTTCATCGTTATTGTAATTTAGATCTCTCCTAATTTCCTGTCTTCATGCGAACTTGTATGTAAGAACGTACTCGTGACCAGAAATGGTCAGACTGAAGATCCATCTAATGCTGTGTCCCATCTCCAGCAGTAACCAGGGCCAAATGCTGAGTGAAGTGTGTAAGAACAGGACGAGTGTGAAGTGATTCTTCCCTAGAGTTTTCCTAGCTGCTTGCAGCTGGTGACTGAGCGCTTCTTGAGTCAGTTTAGTATTCAGTTTTGGACCATTTTTTTCTTATGTGGCTTTTACCCGCTTGTGTTTGAGCCTGTGTAAGCTTTTGGCTTCCAGTTACCGTGCAGTAAGAAACTTTGTAACTTGACTACACTCTGCATGAGGAACCTTTTGTTGGGTTACCTGCTACTGGAAGAGAGAAAAATGATTGTTTGTTCTATAATGTACTCCCTCAGATAGCTTTTTCCTGTTAAGGAGCCAAATCTTTTGGGTTGTTCCTTTGCTTGCATGGAAGCCAAGCAAACCAAGTATCTGAGAATGCAACCCTAAAAACAAGCTTGATTGCAACTGACCAAAGGGCTCAAGTCACTTGACCTTCAGGGAAGTGGAAGTGGCTTGTGAAGGTAAACATGCACAGATGGCATGGTTGCAAAAGCTTGATTTCCAGACTAACAACATAAGAATGTCTTAAAATTCTGGTTTGGCTAACCGTTTTTAATTTCTTTTTAATTCCAGAACTTTTGAATCCTCTTTGGAAACATGAAAACAAAGAACTACTTTTTAAATGTCTTTCAGAACAGTTGACACGTTCCAGGGAGAAGCTGGTGGTTTTTTTTCCTGCAAAGTTCAGAAGAATCTGCACTCTCTTGGATTTTAAATAAATATAAAATAAAAATGGTTTAAAACTTAGCCTTCAAAATGAATGTTGAAAAGTCAGATGACAAAGCAAAGAATGGCTTGAAGTCTTCCTTACTTATAAGGGATGAAAATGGAAATAACTACACATGTGACAGAGCTACAGCCTCCTCAAAGAATTGTACCACCAAGATATGCAGTAATTCAACTGACCAAAATACAGTGACTGAGCATGATGATGATACCATTCTTGAAAATAAAAGTGACTTTACAAGTATTCTTTTAAAACAGCAGTGTGTTGAAGCACTTCATCTGCAGAAGGCACCTGGTAAATACAACTACACAGGAGCTCAGCTGGGAGATGGAGGTGCTGCATGTAAGTCTTCTGTGACTGAACAGAATTGTGTGTATCCTTTGAACTGTGACTTGAAAGAAGCAACAAGCTTACTGGAAGGTAACATTGCTATGGCAAAAATGCAAAATCAGAGTATGGAACAATTGGTGCCTTACAGTCAGACTGATGCGAAGTGTGTATTACCACTTCCTGCTTCAGAGCAGAACACACAGTCCCCGATAAAGGAGAGGGCACGATGCCACCTGAGCACATTGGATGTTACGAATGTTATCAGTGAAACTCTGGGAACTGATCAAAATGATGACATGCATCTGAGGGAAATGCTAGTTTCTTCTGAAGTATGTACAAGAGAGAAATTTGATAGAACCGGCTCAGAAAGAACACCTAATTTCTCTTCTACAGTAGTGATTTCAGAAAGCCCAGATGCCTATTCTGAACTTGAAGCATATTGTCCTGTCTCTGCAGGTGTCGAACACTATCTAAAAAGCACTAACAAGGCTGATCAAGAATCACAGGAAACAGAAGCACAGTCTGTAAAACTAGCTGCTAGATGTATAGATCCTTATAGGCAGGATGCATTATCACCATGCATTAATATTAATGAACATGACCAAGTGAAATCCTTGCAGGATACCCCTGACCATCATGAAACTGGGAATTCCGATGCTGAAACATGCATGGATATTTCTGTAAATAATGTGCACCTTCTCCCAGAAGATCAAATGGATGGAGAACAAGTATCAGAAAAAACCAGTGAACCCCTAACCAAAGAACAAAGCACCTCTGGAAGTGCTGCTCTTCAGGATATGCACAACACCACTTTCATATCTCGCAGTGTACCAAAATTAAAGAGGACTGTTATGCCTGACCTGAAGTGCGAAGCAACTTTTGTGGTCTTCAGTCCTATGACTGACGAAATCGATTCTACTCTATGTACTTCAACCCCTAAAGAGCGATCAAAAAATACAACTTTTTCTGTTTCAGCTTTGCCAGAACTTGGAGACAAGTCTCCTAAACCAAGACCAAACAAGGTGTTTGTAGGAGGGCATAATAGAAGGCCTTTGCTTAAAGCTAGTTCAGGTCAAACTGCAGGAAAACCAGTGGGCAGGTCTCCTGTTGTGTCAACAATAACCAAAGCAAAGAAATCCGAGATTGTTAGTTTTCCCAAACCTAATTTCAAAAATGTTAAGCCAAAGGTTATGTCTAGGCCTGTGCTACAGTCGAGAGACAGTGCAGGATCAAAACAGTCTCCCCAGTCCCCCCAACTATCAGCTGCTTCCCCATCTTCACTGGTTGCTTCCCCGAGGCAATTGTCCCCATCTATAAAAGTGCTGCAAAAGAAAATAGATCTAGCTAAAGACACTAAAGCAGAATTGCCTGCGAATAAGCCCCATAAGCTACATCTTAACAAACACCTCTTCACTAGCCAAGTTGTACATGCCACAACACATCCCAGAAACGCTTCCCACAAGGCTTCAAAGACACCTGCGCTAAAGCAGAATCCGGAAGACGTTGGCAAAGCAAGCTCGACCCATTCGGCATGCTCTTCGGTTTCTGCTGTGCTTCCAATGTGTGTGGAGAACTCGAAAGAGATGCTGAATGATAAAATGGAAAGTTCAACCTCTTTAATGCAGCCCTGTGCTCAAAACATCTACCCGACCGGAGGCGAGAAGGAACAAACCAACAACACGGGAATCCTTCTGGAAGCCACCTTGTTAAAAGATGTGGCAAAGGAAGCATTGGACCTGCACTCAGTTCCTTTGGTGAGCTTTTTTCTTTATGTGCTTAATTATACATTTTGTGCATTCGGAAAAAGGGAATTCTGTATCACAGTGCTGAATGGAAATTGCGGAATGGGTTTTGTGTCTACAAATGTAACCGTGGTGTTGATTTCTGAGGTGAAGTCTCTCCCTAATAAAGGGAGCAAAGAAATACCATTTTACAAACTGGTTGCATTTGGCCTCATTTAGTGTCTTCAGCCTTCATCTTATTCCATGGTACAAAATTTTTTTGGGGAAAATCTTTTTAACACAATGCAGTTGGTAAGATTTCTAATAAAAGCAAGCAAGTCTTAATTTAGTCAAACTGGTAAAATTGCATAGCATAACTTAGTGAGGTTTTTCTAAATACAGCTTTTATCAAGATAATTCTAGTGGTGCTGTAACTTTAAATAGACATTAGAGATAAATTGCTGCTTTCGGTATTTTTTTCTTTCAAAATGTGCTTTAGAACAAAATTATACTTTAAATTTACTTACGGAAATATTGTGCATATATTAACAGTATTAAGTCACACAAAACCCAAAACCCAACAAGTTGGTCAAGCGTTTTATTTTTAACATCTGAATTTAACTGTCTGCTTTGAATAATTTGGGAGTTCGTTTATTTGAAGTGGAACCGGGACTCATTAGAGTAGTGAAAAGTAGCCAGGAAATATTTCTCATGCGGAGGGCATATACCTGGTTTTGGGCAGTCAGCCAGCTGGAAGGTGCAAACTTCCTGGCCGGGAGGTATGCGTGTGCTGGTTGGTTGGGAAATATTTTCGGACGAGTCAGCTGCCTGTCAGGAGAAACGTGCTGCTTTCAAATACTCTGAAGGAAGGTTAAAAGAACAGGAACGGTGGGAAAGAAAAGAAGACCTTCAAGGTTGGCTTGACCAAGATCTCAGGAGGTATGGTAAGGACTCAGGGTTGGAGTCTTGATGCTCTTGATGGAGTCCCTTCTGTTGTTTGTTAGTGGGTTCAACAGCTTATGTTAAGTCAGTGAAATGGAGGCAGCAGCTGTTACCGATAAAACTGGCATTGTCTGAATTTCTGTCAGGCTTTCCTGATTTTCCAGAAAGCCTCTGGTAAAGCTCACTATATGGAGGAAGCTACTTCAGGTAAAACAGAAGCAGCTATCCATTTTTGAAACATTACAGAATAAATTAATAGATATCATTATTACAATAAATTATTTAACTTGAAAACCTAAATAAACATGAAAGCAAGGATGATCTATCTTAATTCTAAAGTCTTTCAGAGCTTGGATTCTGCTTCACTTCTGATGCTGAGGGTTGGAGACAATCCTTTTAATTCACCCTGGCACCAAGATGGAAAACTTTGTGTTATTAATTGTTCTGCTGGTACCTGGAAAATTCATGGAGTAATTTTATAAAATGTGCAGTAGGCCAATAAGCTGGACTAAATTTAGTAAGTGATCTTCTGAAAAGTACAGATTAACTTCTGAAAATGAAGATGAGGATTGGAGTCAAAAGTAGAAAGTACATTAATATGATCAAATTGCTGTGTATTGGCTTGAATTGCAGAAAAGCGTACGAAAAGCTGTACGTTCTGATGAGTTTGTCTTTATAGCCTTAACCTTACAGCATAAGTGGTCATGAATTAGTGCCTGTATAAACTGGAGCAAGAATGCTCTATGAAAGAGATGAATGCTACATATAAACCAGTTATTTAAAACCTGTCCTGGGTCTGCTCCTGAGTTTGTTTTATCTATGGCACCTGGATGTGAAAGATTTTAACCCGTTTGTGTCTTGTAACTTAAGACCTAGACCAGGAAACCTATTGGAAGGGCTGGTAAAGAATTAATCTCGAGATTAGGTGCAGTCATGTAATTGAATGGCTTAATTAGAGTTTGGGGAGGAAGAGGAAGAAACTTTCATGTTAAATGACCCCTGTAACCTCTTTAGTGTGTTTGTCATTATGAGTGATTAGCTTCAAACTAATATTATTGTGTTGCTGAGGGCCATTCAGGAGGTGATTCTTGAGGTTCTGAACTGGAGATGGGGACAATGTGACAGCCAACAGCTAAGCATATCCCCTACCTGTGTGGTCTGTATTTCATTACAGATGCTGGGCTTCTCACAATGGTCATGTGGGGGGCTTTCGAGGTTTTTTTTTTGTGGCTGGTCTTGTGTTTGGGGTTTGTTTTTTTTTTTTGTTGTGTTGGGTTTTTTTTTTAAAAAAAAAACCAAACAAAAATAGATGCCTTCTGTGAAAGATGGGACGACACAAGGGAAAAACATACTGAAGAAAGACCCAATCACACTACAAAGTGTATCAGCTCCCAAGATTAAAATGGTGCCGTCTGTGTTGCCCTTGAAGAAAGGGTGTGAAAATAAAACTGGCAGCACAATTAAAGCATCTTCTCACAAAGGAGCTGTTCTGTCATCAAGCTCTGGTAAGAGAATTTTTCACTGGAATACTTCCACTTAACTAGTTTCTTAAAATTAAGATATATTTAATGTATTTTCTGACAGAACTTTTAGAATGGTACGGGGCTGTGTTTTTGGTGCTGAATATGATTCTGTTTAAATCACAAATTGCTAATATGGGGGGAAAAGAACAAAAAGGCAGGTTATACCCCATCACTGTAAAATCTTGCAAGTAATGTGTTTAGGAGGGTGTAGGGCTGTTAGAAGAAGCAATATTTAAATATTATTGTAGTTTGGTTATATAACAGTACTTTGTGGAATTACAACTAAAATTACTCGAAGGATGTAAAAGTGAAGAGGACAAAATACAGAGCTTGGGATAAAGCATTTACAATAAGCAACTGTATGCCATCCCAATGGGAATGAGCCCTTATTTCAGGACATAGCATACTTTGTTCAACCTAATTTTGTTACAGCTCTATAGTTTCTAGAAAGGGGGGAACATAATTGAAGGAGAGACTACTGCTTGAGCTGCTAATTAAGATCAGATTGATTAATACCAAGGGGCAGGGAAGCAGGGATCTTAAAACTCGCCTGTAGGCTGCTGTTCAAATCTGGTGATTGAAAACTGCATTCTGTAACTGTACAGTAGAAATTCAGAAATGCTCTTGTAGGTGATATGCTTTTTTTAGCCAAATGTGGCAGTATAGCTAATTGCAAAGGTAACCTGGCTATAAATGACTGCGCTACAATACACTGTAATTCAGAAAGTGTGCACACCCAGCTGTACCCAGTAAAACCTGTTCTTTTTTTAACCCACTCAATCTAAGATTATAAACACAGTCCAAAATACTCCTCTTAATTATATACAGGTGGTGAAGCGTGATAAAATCTGCATCTGTAGTCCTTTATGGGATGAGTCCCTCAAAGAAAGTGGATATAGGCTATTCTCTGACTTGATCCTTGCTAATGTGAGGGACTTGCTCACTGAACTAGGTACCTACCTGTAAGCCACCAATTTCTTGGAAGACTCATCACCTCTCTAAATACCAATTTAGAGCTTTCCTATCTGTAATTATGGTCTTACAAGAACTGAGATGCATATAGATATAGGTGTGTATTTGTCCCTGTGATTATTAATGCAGAGTAGATTTATGACACTCGCTAGAAATAAATGTAAGCATGGCTGGGTTATAGGACTGACTTCTTCCATTCATAAAAAAAAATAATAATCAGATGCACTTTCAGAAGCAGAAGTCATTTGCTGTTGAAAATAAAAACCTTTACTCCCCAATTTTGTTTAGCGAAGCTGTTGCTCCTTAACTCATCGAATGTTGAAATTACGATAATCAGTAGAACACCTTTCAAATTTTTCCTATTGCAAGAAGGCTGCTTAAGGTAAAAGCACAAAGCAGCAGCTCAATGTTTCAAACTTGTGCTATGATCTGATGAGACTGGAACTCTAATGCCCTCTCCCCAGCCCCCCTGCCAATGCCCACCGTTCCTGGCACTTCTTACCTTTCTTTTTGCTTATGCAATGTTTTGGTGCTACAAAGTAGGATTTGATTCACTAAACTATCAGGTTAACTTCCCCAAGCCTTGCTGAGGGAATTTGTAAGCATGGTTCCTTGCTTCTTGGTAAACCTAGTACTGATACAAATTGGAGGATGGGAGTACAGGGTGGGAGAAGCAAGGATGGGGATGGGGTAGGAGTTACTTGGTATTGCTGCCAAAGCCCCGCTGTATTATGTGACCACACCTTTCAGGTAAAACCTTGTCCACTGCTGCTCACTCCATCTGTTTTTAAAGTTTTGAAAGTAAAACTGTACATAGACTTAGTGTGGCCAAGTGGCAGCTTGTAAATCAAACCCAGTTACCTGTTTTAGCTAAAGCCTTCCTGTAGGGAATAACTATTTCTTCCAGTTAAGTCATCTGAACACTTTGGTATTAAACATGTGCCTTCATGTAATTCCAGCAGGTCAGATAAATAACTCTGTAGCTGTACAGTTGTTTGCTCTCAGGATTTCTCCAGACTACAGACAGATGAGCTACATCCAGGATGGAAAGGACTTCTGGAGGTCACCTAGTCCAGCCCCCCTTGCCTGTAACTAGGTCAGCACTGAATTCAGACTAGGTTGTTCAGGCATTTTTCAAGCCAAATCTTAAAAATGTCCAAATCCGAATGACCTTGTTGCTTCCTGAGGTACTAACATAAATGCAGCTAATTCTGAGCCAGTCGCTGGCTGTATTTGGATTGGTGGGCAGGCAGATGAATCGGTGTAATGACTCCACCAAATACTCCGAACAAGAGAAGTGACAGTATAGCTCTGTATCATTTCATGTGTATGTTGAGGAAGAGAAGCAGTCTGTCTATCCAAAATGTATTAGTATACGTATTATTCCCAGACTGATCAAGAGCTTGTGAGCAGTGAGTTGTATTGTGCACTGTCATTTTTGAGTGGGAAGCGGGAAACTTCCCAATAACCGAGAAATAAAAGAAAAATTGTATAAAACACCAATTATAAGGTCCTTGTAACTCGGTAGGAGTTGAAATTTTGGTATTTTTTTTTCCACTTGTAAATGTAAACTCTAAGTTTTCAGTGGTAACGCACTAATCCAACAGGAAGCATGTCTTCTAAGGAAATTCCCTCATCCTCTCCTGATCAGAAGACAGCAGAAGGAGAGGAAAACTCATATTTCAAGCATTATATTCTAGTGAGGTTATTTGCAGAGCACATTAAGCTAGAAATAACTTTTTTTTATTTATTTCAAAATGGTTGCTGACTGCTGTTCACCAGTATTGGTGTATCTTGCTAGAACTTGGGGTTTTCGCTGAATTAGAAATTGGTTCTCTAAAAGGTAAGCCCAACTTGATTCATTGTAGTGAAGTGGTTTGTGAAATTGCAAAGCCCGGTGTCTGCAGCAAATCTAGAAATCAGGACACAGTTGCAAGCTAGATGCCTCAAAATTATTTCTGTAGCTATTTCTCTCCATTCATCCATAAGACAGAATCACCTGCGATCACATACTCATTCTTGAACAAAAATCTTAATTTCCTAGAGCTAATTTTTCCATGGTGGTGTGTGTAGATTTCTGTAGTACTGGGTGGCAGGCAGTATGCCTTTGCGTTAGTTTGCTATTAGTGAAAAGGTTTATTAGAATTCAAGACAGAGAATAAAGTGTTTGAATTACCTGGTTCTTAAGGGAAGGCGTGTGTAATTTTATAATCTGGACTTTGAACCAGTCCAGAAATGAAAGCAACTATTGTTTTCGTTCCTAGCAAATGCACGCAGCCCTCTAATTGGCTGCACATAACCACTGTGGAGGAATAATAGCCTGCAATAGTTGAGGTATTACGGTTTGGGAAGAGTCATGTTTTTCTCTCACTTGAAGGGAGGGGTGGAAGGGGTCTGGAGAAGCCAAGGAGAATTTGGTGGTCCTGTGGAATATCACTCAAAGTTCTTCTGTCAGCCTGCACCAGAAACCGCATGCTACCGCCCCTGCAGTTGGATGCAAACACTGTGACAGTTTGAGCTGCAGGAAATGGTTTGATTTGTGTTTGAACAGCGTAAAATAGGGCTATAAATGGTTTACTTTGGATCTAAAAATGTAGATGCCCACCACTGCTGTGGTTCTTTTTGTTTTTTTTCCCCTCTCTTAGTGCTGACTACAGCCTACCTATAAGTATGTAAAGGGATGGAGCTTTACCTGCAAGTTAAGATTTCTGGTATGCTAATACTTTACCTACACTTCTGTCTTAAAATAATACCATTGCTTTTAATTATTTCCCACTGTATGAAACTTCATGTTGTTGTTGATGTCTTAGCTATGACAGCTCTGTCAAGCCTTACGCATAATTGAAACTATTTAGGGATGTTTGAGCATCAAAAAATATTATTTCTCCACTTACTGTTAAAGACTTCCAGAAATTAATATAAACCACATAAATCATCTTTAACCAAAATGTCTTTAACTCTGACAGTTATTTCTGACACTTTAGGTACTGTTTTGTCTCTGATTTAAGTCACTGATAAGCAAGTAAAGCTCTGTGTTTTACTTTTCCGTGAGTCTAGTCCAGTGGTACTCCCTCTTTTGCTTACTGGTATTTTCATACCACGTAACTCGAGTAATGAAAGCTTGGGTAGAGAGAAACTCAACAGTTTGACTGAAACAATTCTGTTTCGTTGAAGATTTTGGGCAAGTGAGAGCTTTTCCTTATGAAAAATTGATCACTCTGAAGGAATTTTCTGGTGTTGTGCAACTAACTAGCATGGGAAAAATATTTCCCCATATGCTATAGGAAGTACATTTAAGTTGCATTAGACAACAAAAGGTTTAGTGATACTTTGAAATACTGATTTACTTGTTAGTTCGTAATTGCTAAATTCCTTCTGTTGTGTTTTGGCTTGATCTTACACTTAAATGTGTAATTCAGAAAAGCTTCCAAAGTTAAAACCAGAACAGGCCATAACAGATCAGGACTGTGTTCATTACTGAGTGTTGTTGCTATTTATTGTACAAAGAAAGGCTTTTGGGATGGAAAATTGAAACCAAATGGTTTCAATGGGTTTTCACGCTGCTGGAGATATGTATAAACTTGATAATTCAGGACTTTTTGGTATAGCCTTTCACAATACTAGTGAAGCAGAACTGAAGCAATTTAGTTGCAGTAGGCGTTCCCACAATCTTGAGTCTGTTCTAACACTGAACCAAGAGATAAACCAAGCATGGTTATTGCAAATCACTTTTCAGCTTGTATCATTCCTACTATCTGCTGTGTGACTCCCTAAAGTTGGATTGACGTGCTGCCAAGAGGAAACAAAATATTTTAACAGGCAAACATAACTTCCAGGTTTTCTGGGCTGAAACAGTCAGGAAATGCTGGACTGGAGAGTTATGTGTAATGGTATCCATATACTTTCTTGTGAACAAATCTGAAATACACTAGAGTCTATAAATAAGGCTTACAATTTAGTTTCAACCAGTTTTTTTTTTCTTTTGCAGAACAGCCAGCTGTTTTCATAGA